TTTACCTTTGCTTCCACTATTCTGCTATCTTCCTTTATCCTGTCTCGGGATTCTGATACAATGGATTAAACACACCTCAGACTAAACACAAAATTTCTGATATAAAAAGGGCGGATGGAGAGATACGAAACCTCTATTATGTACAAAAAGATATACCTTATGAACTGTGGTACCGGTTTCTAGTTTGGAGATGGGCATCCCCTGCTCTTGCCCCTTCCCCAAAACAGACAATAATGGCAGCTTTCCACTAACGATACTGTCTGTAACGTGTGCTCGTTATTCGTTTCTCCAAGAACCAATTACACGTTCCGTTACCTCACAGCACCTCGGGTTTCAGTTGTCACCAGCCCACTAGAAGCCCCAAGTCTTCCTCAAGCGTTACAGAACACGAGGTCCTCTTAAGAGCGCGGGTTTCTAATATGTAACACGCCAAATTAAATGATCTACTCGTACGTTATTTAATGGCGTTTCCTTGCCAGCATAGACTATATAACCCCAAATGGTACAAAAGAAATTAATGATAAACCGGGTGTAATGTTGAAAGAAGATATAATGATGTATTGAGGTACTCTCAAAGTATTTACCTGGAGGGACAGAAAAATCAATATAAAGTTGTCAAGGGCTATATAAAGTTGACGACTAAGTAATAAACAAACAACTTATCGTTATGAGCATACAAATCAACCCCATCCATCACGACCAGTTTATACAATCACGATTTCGGTAATAATACTGAGTCAATGAATCTGGACTGTGTCTAAACAGAATTTCGAAAAGTGTAATTTAATATTCACACGGAATATTCCAGCTCTTGTCTGGTGGGACTGAGTAAAATCATGAGAATTCTCAGAAAAACGGCTCTCCAGCCGAATCGAACCTTGGACTTCCAAAATGAGATTAAATAGGATCATCAACCACTCGATAGACAAAGTATTTGGTACAGATAAAGGATTTCAGAATATCCAGAACATCTAAAGATCCCCAAAAGCATAATCGGCGTCGTCATCATGTTCCTTAGCTTCTAGTTATCTTTTCGACCACCATGAATTACGTGGCGTGTCCGGTACCAGTTTCGTTGTAAAGCGTCCAGATTTGTGCACTTCTTCGATACAAACTGCGAGCAGTCTTTCTGAACGCTGTCTCGATGACAGGCTATTTGTAATTCGAGTAGACCTACACCTATCTCTTTCGACAGTTAGTGAGAATTCATAAAGACAGAACTGAACTGAGAAATACTAGAAGGACGAAGACCCATGGCCTGCGAGGGGAGACGAAGTAACGACTGGAAAGTCTTAAGAGTCTCAAACCTTCAAAGAACGTTAGTGTTAAAATCGCTTTCAGATTCAAAATGTTGCAACTGTTACTGAGTTTCATCGAGATGGAGGTACTGGAGAAGATGCAGAAGGAAATAAAGGGACCCTCAAACGTCCAGAGGAGAAACGACTTGAAAACTAAGATAACATAACATACCCGAAGAATATTTTGAAGAAACAGGAGTCTTGAATCATTCTTCAGCAGACCAACAAAGTTGATCTTCGCTTCTGAGTTCACACGAATAGCCAGTATTTACCCGCCACGTCCTCCACACGCCCCTTTGAATTTCTGGAGAGTGAAAGACAGATAGCAGCACGGAGAATCACGAACACTCAGTCACTTAACTCTTCCTAAGATATTGCGCCCTGCGTAAATCCTTTTCCCCTTGGAGAATGACAGTGGATTTCTCTAACCGTACTTTCTCTCTATTTTATTTCTAAAAAAGTGAAACTCCTGCTATATACTATTCTTGTTCAAGTGTTGTAAAACCTTAAACTTCACCTAAAACTTTTATAAGTTACATTCTATCCTGTGATCATGTAGATTTACAACAATTTGTTACTTCGCACGGCAGATGTGCTAAAGTAAGAAGGAAACCACTGGTTATTTGGTTGAATACAAGCAGCGAATTTTTCTTCCAACCGACGAAAGTTTCGAATGAAAGGTGGAGGAGTTCAGTTCTAAACCTTCGCCTCGAAATTCTTGGCAGTATTCGGACGCAAATTATATTAAAATGAGATAGTTTGTAAGCAATCACAAAAAAATTATAATTTTGTAACCGTAAGTTACATTAATTTGTAAATAACTTATTTTGGCTACCACCTTTTCGCCCCAAAAAATGCGAAGACTAGGAAAGTGTTTTCGAGCTGTCCTGTTCATTTAAGTTGTCAGAGATTTTTCTTCCGTTGCCACGTCAAAACAGGTTTTGAGATCCATTTATCCTCCTATCCGATATTGGAATTTCGCTCCTTGCTAGTAAAACGGTCTGGCATGACACCTCTACCAAGTGCCGAGATTTATAATGTGTGGGTTTTACCTCCACTCTATACCATGGCTTCATTATCCGATCATTAACTTTACCCAGACGATTAAGGCGCTTAGAATTACATTAATTAGACTACACCAATGAATAGATTAGTCTTGACAGTTTATCTAAGACATGTTCTTGTATATCTTCTTTGGTTCTTCCACCCTTCCTTTCATACTTTCCTTCCTCCCTCTGTAACATTCATCTCTTCACCCTGAAGCCAAGGATAAACTACGCTTAAGATCCTGAGATCCTGTGTAACGAAGAATCAGAATGTATGCTACCGCCCGTCTCGTCAATTTGTCTAGTTCTCAGCAAACCCACTCATGCTGTATGCTGCATCCAGTGACTAACAAATAGACGACGGTCTGAATGCGAACGGCACTACTATGTCAACTTCGCATCTAATGATCAAATATACGTGTGAACCATGCTTAGGCTTTGTATTCGTAATACATCAAGATCATACTGAAAGGCGACAAATGTCTTAAGGCACCTGATCAAACATCTGCGATACCGGATGTCGCAAACGACAGAAAACAAGATGCAAGGATAAAATTAAAATCGATATTAAAGAAATAAACTCTGATATTGTGGAGTTTATTGTGATGGCTAAGAGTCGGTTAAATGATGTGTATTAGAGTTAGAAGTGTTCACAAAATCAGAAATATTCTTTTCGCTGAGTCTGAATTTAAGAATCTCAGGGTTGAATTAGAGTTCATTACAAATACGGGAATACGGCATCAATAACTAAACCACAGGCGTGACATGGGGTCTAATTCTAAATATATACTAGATTAATAACACATTAATACTATCCATAAAATACAGAATAAAATACAATTACAATAAAGTCAAAAGTTGAAAATAACATTCAAAATACTTCTAATAACACAGCTCGCGTCGTTTTATGGCTTACGCGCATCTAGCAAACCAAAAAGCAAAATTCCACAATTTAAATTGGACCACGGGGTGGAATTTCTGTTTTGTTCCCAATTGTAAAAATGAAAATCCGTAGAGGGAATTTCAAGCGAGATCCAAAAGCCGACGTGGAACAGTTCTAAATCTTCCACCAAAACCCATTCGTATGGTCCATTAAATTTCCACAGATGTTTACTTACCTAATCCAACGGGAATCGTATAACTCAAAAAAATTCTTTATAATAAGAACAGGAACATTTTAGACACATCTTATACTCGAGTTTACTGTAACATTCTGTAGTCACAAATGCTGTTACCATGGACACGTCTGTCTCCACGTCAATAAATCACTAGATGGGGACAGTTTTCTCTAAAGAACCAAGCCAGACGAGTTTCAAGATGACTGACCGCCAGTCATAACAAACTCATCCTGTATCACACTGCTGTCATCAAACAACCAAACACGCGGGGTGTCCAACGTGGCCACAAAATTTATTTATTTATTTCGTAACCAAATACACACCATTCAAAGTAGAAATCATCAAATAGAATAATATTAATAACATAGAGATAAAAAAGGAGGTGGGGGAGAATTTAGTATAGAATAAATATAAAAGTAAATTTACAACATATATATAGAACTATATTTGAATCCAATATCGGGCATGAAGAATGGCAGTGTCTGTACATGTAGCCAAATCTTCGCTTATGCAGGGAGAATCTAAGCCAGGAGGCGATCCAAGTCACAAAATTAGAGAATGGTTTACTCTACATCAGAAACTTTGTCTCCAATAACAAAAATTTACAACAGAGTTGTTATAATGGAGGAATGTAGCTAGAGAGGAAGACAAAGGGACCCACATAAAATGTATTGGTAATCTCAGAAATTTATTCGATAAAATTCCAAGAATGTAGTAGAATAGCATAACATGTATCTTAGAAACAGATGTGAGGATAACAGGTGGATAAAAATAATTAGGATTGGTGTGATTTCAAATTCTCACAGCGGACAGTATAAAGATAACTGTCTTCTGTTAGACGTCTACATACTTATCACAGTGCTTGCTGCCTCCATCATCAGGGCGATGGGGTCAGCCCTAATGATAGAAACACCTTTGAAATGTCTATAAACTTCTATAAGATTAAACGGCACATCATTCCAGGAGACAATGAACTTCATGATCTGGACTATATCCAAATTGTGGGATTCGCACCATCACTGCAAACCATTCGGGTTCTCACACCACAGTATAACAGTGATAATTAATTATTTAACTGTCATACAAAGTTTAATACAAATTATTAAATTAACTGAATAGTTCTTAAACACAAACACACAACGAATACACAAAAGGGAAGTCATTTAATAAAAATAACTTAGAAATAATCAAATCCGGAAAAAAGTTTCTAAGAAAAATCTGGAACATAATTTAAACAATCAATGACATCACAACAAAGTGCGAAACGATTTCAAATGATCGATTTTTGGTCCATTAAAAAAAATTAGCTGCAATTAATAAAGCAGCTTCCAGTGGATGGAACAGTCGTGGCATATTTTAATGTACTATGCCACAATTTTCACTATGAAACCCGTTAATCAGACCGCATGATAACCGGTCAGCATTAGAACCTGGGACCTGTATAATGCTTTGGTACCAAGTCCACTGACTTCATATATTATTATTATTATTATAAATTGTTTAATTGGTCCACAAGCAGCCAAAAACTTCAGGCGTGTTGCCGTCATAACTCGGATGCTTGCAGGCCAGATGAAACTGTAGTCACGGCTCGAACCACGAGATAGGCGGCTACAGTGAGTTGGGGTCGTGCGCACGCAGTAGTCGGAGCGACCCAAGAAGCACGGCCTTTTGCATCCGGCTGAGTAATGCTTCAGCGTTACGCTGGCATGCCGGAATGAGCTTGATGTCAGCCAGCAGTGACGACTTGACTCCTCCAAGAACTCCGATTATAAGGACGACTAATTTGACAGTGAATCCTGGGTACAGCTGTCTTAGCTCAAACACAAGGTCTTGATACTTGGTCAGTTTTTCAGCCTCCTTCACAACTATGTTGGTTTCAGCCGGGGCCGAAAACTCGATGACATACATGGTGCATCCAGAGGTATCGATGAGAACGATGTCAGGTTTAGTGGCTGTTAACTGCCTGGTAGTAAGTAAAGTTTGTCCCACTATACGCCATGTAGGCGTTTGGGGTGAGTGGAGGTATAGCTCCTCTCTTCCTTGACCTCAGCACTAGATGGGGTGAGCGGACTGAGCTATCCCGGCTCAACTGCCTGGTAGTGGGGAACGAATAGTTCCAATAAATTTTACATTTGTCGTTCTCAACGACGGACTCAATGTCCCCAGGAGCGTACGGCAAAACGGGTGGCTTATCTATGCCGTAAAAGTGCCTCATATTATTATTATTATTATTATTCAGTGTTCTGTCTGACGACAGGTTCATTGCTCTGCCTAAAAAGAGATCTCCAGTTTACCCTATTCTCAGCTTCTCGTTTTAATTCCTGAAACTTTATCTTCTTTCCTTGTTTCAGATCGTCGGTTAGCTGTATCGACTTCATATGTCGCCAGTTGTTTTCAAAGTAGTTCTGTGACATACAGATATAAGGACGAGTAAAAAAATACAAGTAGATTTTGGGTGGCGGTCTGTTATGCGTTATCACAAACCAGCTGGCCATATGAAGTATAAGCTTTGCTTCCTCTTCAAGAATAACAAGACCTGTAATATAATGGAAAGCAAACATAACTTGACCCTACACAAACAGTTACTGCCAGTGTAAAATTCTTTGTGCTTTTTCAAGAGATAGGTGCATATTTCAGATGGAGTCAGAATACAGAAAAAGTGAAAGTAAACTGTCATACATTATTCAGCTAGTCCACGTTCAAAATTACCTTCATACAGCATATCTTTCGAAAGAGAACTCTAGGGTAACTAATAGTGAACGTACAACAGAAAAATAAAACATGAGAAAGGATGAAGAAGTCACGGGAAGATTGCCGAAGCTTAAAACAAAATTATAAACGTGAAAAGAAAATTACAAAAGGGACAGATATGAAAAGAATTATATATAAGCAGTTTTATTCAGTGGAGCACCGTCCCTACATCAGGACACACATAATTCGATTCCGGGACATTAATAGAAAATGTGACTAGTAATTTCGGCAATTTTCCCATGTCACAGGTACTTAAATGCCAGCATGGTTCTTATCAAATGTTGTTACCACCCGTTTACCAACATTTCCATTCCCATTACCTATCAGCATAGGATATTACCACTTTTCAATTGCCCACGATATTAAAATTCTTCTAAGTCTCTGATGAGTGAAGCAATACTGCTTTGTATTCTGGAGGTACTGGGCTCAAATCTCAGCCCAGAGACGGACCATCCCATAATCGTTCATACAAGTCGTAACTACGCATAATAAAAAAATATGTATTTTCCTCATCCACCTGTCTGCTTTATTGATGAAACGCACCGTGAAATCTAATAGAACCTTGAATTAATAGGTTATTATGGCAGACACAGGTTAGACAGCTGAGAGGCAGTAAGAAATAAGGAGAAAGCGGAGAAAGGAGAGATATCGAAAGAAATTTCTAGTAAATTAACTGCAGAAATACGACGCTTATGTAAGAAAATCCCATTGGGAAAACGGTGGATAAAATAAAAAGTTCTTAAAAGGAGCTTAGTTGTATGAAGTAGAAGTATTCTTTCCCACATTCCAGTGTTAGTTTAACAGAAATGCACACGAAAGGAAGTAAGCCTATATATTAAAAACAGGTGAAGAAGGAATTCTTTTTTAATATAATGAATTCTTCTCGGGCTACCAGTCGTATTAGGTATTTGGAAGGTGAAAAACACCTACGTTTCGAGAACCAACTTCGTCCCCGTTATCAGGGTATTAACGTTCTTGACGATTATTATAGAATGATTGTAAATAATGGCTTTGGAAGGCAATAGCAGCATATTTTAAAATATAATTCGACCTATTTTCTGGAAAGGCTGAAGAAAACCACGAGAGAAATCGTGTCACTATAGTATGTTTTCGGGTCGAAATTTGAATACCGGTCCTTCTTTGTACGATATTTCATCGAAGCAACTGCCTACTTGTACTCGAAATGTCTTAGATGTACGCTTCTCATATCGATAAAGAAAAAAACTTATTGCATTCTGATACACAATTTAAAATAAATCTTGATTTTTGGTGTCTTTCATCTTTCCTGGAAGGAAGTTCTATCATGGAAATATACACGGATCAAGGAAACAGCCTCCAGAAAAATTAACTGAAGGTTACTTCTGTCCAGTGGAAGAGTAAACCGCGCACAAGTTGTGGTCCACCTGCTTTAAGGCTGATCAAGGAACTAGCAATTCTTAAGAAAAAGCGATGGATGTTATCAAATATAACAAACGGTCATTGATTTGCTCTTGAATTGACTTACCTGGTTAAGAATATGGGCCGCAGGTGGGTTCTTGTGAGTACATTACTGAACCTTCAGGTTCCTTAGAAGATGATGAAATTTCTCAAGGACATTGCTCCGTCAAGTCAGATACTGACAAGTTTCAAACAAAACAGTTTTTTTATTGAATTATACTGACTTCTACACAAAATTAAAAATCCATATATATTTCATTCAAGCAGAGAAACGGAAATGTCATACTTTATATTAGCTACGAAATTTTTTTTAAACCATCGTAAAAATGGATAATTTGTCATGTGAAACGAAGGGCACGGTTTTTACAACAAATTTGATACACAGACTGCAAGTAATTAGCACGTAAATAAAATGTCCCGATGTTTAACAAGATGGAGTCGGTCCAGAAGGATTTATCTTGGCAACACAACCAGTTCCTTTGGCGTTATGAATTATTACTGCAGAGCGCACCACTGTGCCGCATGTTACTGCAACAAGCAGTTCCATGTGGGGTCCGACCTGACCACCCATTGCTGATAAAACAATGCAACAAGCAGACGCGCCTCACTTTTAATCGGCAGGAACATAGTCCTTCTTGAGAAACTAGTAGTAGGCTTAACTAGCCAAGATATACTCAGTCTTCTAAAGAATCCAAAAGTTCATTACCGTTTTCACAAAAGACAGCCACCGGTCACTACCCCGAGCTACAGCTGAGAAATCCAATCCACACCCTTAAACCTCATTTTTTTTAGATTGACTTTAATATTATCCTATTAACTGTGCCTACACCATTCGTATCTTGCCCTCACACATTCCAACTAAACTTTTATAGGCATTCCTCATATCTCCATGTCCGCTACAGATATAATCTATGGAGAAAACACATATGCACATAACAGACTATTTTGGCCGATAAATGTCAGACAGAAAAAATAAATGCCTGTATACAGTATTTTCGTCGACAAGTGTCTAGATAACAGATAAACGCACAAGATATTTTGTTCGGAAAACCTCAAGGAAGACACACATAAATTCGTGACATAAGTTCGTCATTTTCCATGTGGCGGGTTCTATAGAAAGTTGTCGAGAACAGCATGCGGCCCGCAGGCCACAGTATACGAACTCTGCTCTAAGTAAAAGCGGACTAGATAGTAAGCTACACTAGGAGATCTTCCTTCTACTTAATTCCCAATTAATCACTCAAAATCATCCTTAAAATCGATGCCATGTCCCTCTTCATTTAGAAATGCGTAAAGAATTTCGTCAAATTGGCATAAACAAAACACCAAAAAGGCCTCAGTACGTATTAATATACATCAATCAAATGTTAATCCGTGTTTAGAATGTCAAGGTTCATCACAGTCAGAACATAATTCCACTGTACAACACTGCTAAAGACAATTTACACGCTCACAATGACCTGTTATATATTTTTAATATTATACTCCTATCTGTTCAATGGTTTACTAGTACAACTACATAAAAAATTGTTACGCGTCACTTATTTGATCTGACGTTTTTTACTAAATTCCATTTGCATCTTGTTCGCGAAAATTTTGTAATTAGCTTACAATTGTCCCACATTTTGAATGTTAGGTTTCGTAATATCATGTTAAAGACATAAAGGCCAATAATGAAACAACGGAAATTATAAATGTCTCTCCTTTCGCGTATAGCTTGAGGACATAAATAAAATGTTATATAAATGTTGGTAGGATCTGAAATTCGGATGTAAGAGTACTTCACATTTAACTTTAATATTCCTGTTTCGTTCAACGCAATGAAGACGGCTGTGGGGTTGAGATTGCGAATTCCCTCGGAATTCTTTTCGTACCACAGAAGAATAAAGAATAAAGAGTATAAGCAAAAGACGTATCTTACGTTTGTGAGTTCTTGTTTTGAAATATTTATTCCGGTTTTCATGACGGCTTTATCGGTTGGCAGTAATCTCGCCACCTTCACATTCATGCGGTCTCCTCCCCCGGCCCCAAACCCGCACAGCCTTAAATGACGCTACAAAGCGTTAAGGGATTACTCTAGTCTGTTGTTTGTATTATCTCTTTCAAAGGCATTAATTTTATTGTATTTTGAGTCAAAGATAAAGTTTAAATACGAAATATTTTCAACAGCCAAGAATTCTGGCAATGTCTTCGTATTAATTCATGTAAATAAATGTTTCGGAATGTCATAGTCATCAGTCTTCAGTATCCCCCTCAAAAAATATCGAACACAATATGCATTACGGGTCTCTTTTTAAGTCCTGTCCAATTCCTCGTCTCTTTTTTAACCAACGTAACAAAAAGTCGCATAAAAATGCCAAAGCTAACCGAAGGTTCAGTTTTCACTATGCGTAGGAACAAAAATAAGTTCAATGTAATTCAAACTCAATTTCTTTATTAAAATGTTTGACGACAGAAAACAATCTGTGAGAGGCAATAATAATGTAGACTATGATGGCGATTGGTGGGGTACGTGGAGCCCTATATTGAGCAAGATAAATTTTGTTTACATTTCCATAACCTATTTATTTATAGGCATACCAATATTAATTGTATCCTCCCAGTTTCCTATATTTTGCCCCACCCCCCACCGCCATAAAACTTTCCGGCTAAGCACAAGAGAAAAAATTATAAATATAATAATAATAAACTTGGAAACGAACTGTATGTTAACATCAACTCCAAGCTCACACATCACTACAACCTGACACCCCGAGATACATTTTAATATTATCCTATTTCCACGCTCCTTTCCGCAAGAATCCCTTTGACAAAACAACAGTAGATGGCTGTCTTCTGGATTGTTGCGCCGTGTAGTCTGGTCGATGTTTACCGACGTTTCAGTGGTCCTTGTTGCCTCCATCATCATGGTGATGAGTGGCTCATCTGAAACGTCGGTAAACTTCTACCAGACTACACAGCGCAACAACCCAGAATACAGCCATCTTGAGACTCACCGCTGTGAAAACTTAAAATCCTGCAAAAACAACTGTAATCTTTTTG